TTTTTACAAGTGTTTTGGCGGGAAAATTGGGAGATCACTTTTCCTGCCAAAAAATATTTTGTATTTTGTGGACCTAATTTTGTTTCAAATAAGGGTAAAATGGTCATTAAAAATTAAAAGAGGGCAAACTTAAAAATGGACTCTCAAAGGGGGCATTTTTGAAAAGGGGTATTGAAAAAGGGGCATTTTTAACAATTTCTCTAATAATATTTGATAAAACTTTAAATATATTAACTTAAAACTTCCGATAATTTTTGTCATCTTAAGAACTTTTAGATATATTAGAGAATTTAATTCATTTAAAAACGGAAATCATATTCATGTTTGAGTAATTTGAGTATATGTCTAATATAGTAATTTTAAATTGATTCAAAATTCAACCTTATTGTTTAGAAGTTACAATTTTTTCAGAATATTTTGTTTTTAACTAATTTTGTTGGATTTTTTTTCCTAATTAAATTTTTTATAAGTTTATTTGATTAATTAATTTTTCAAAAAATTCAGCCAGATTCAGCAGTTACCATTTGAACTTTAAATTATTTAGCAGATTCCGCAAGAAATCACAAATAAATTCAGCTAGAATCAGCAATTCAGCCAAATTCAGCCGGATTCCTCGGTTACCATTTAGACCCCAAGTCTTCAAGATATTTATGTTTGGGGAAATATGGAAAATCACATTATTAGCCATACGAAACAAATGAGTCACGAGACATAAGAAGACAAAAAGACAGAGTCACAGACTCTACGTCTTCTACCTTATTCTTCTTACTCATTTCATTTTCACCAAAACCAACAATATATTCTTCTCACTTTTCGAGCTTTTCTGTTCAACTATGGCGGCTCCGATCATACTTTTCTCTTTCCTTTTCTTCTTCTCTGTCTCTGTCTCGGCACTTAACATCGGTGTTCAGCTCATACATCCTTCCATTTCCTTGGTTAGTCAATTCTTAACCGGTCATGATCCTTGATATCTTTTTTGGTTTAGATCCGGTTTATACTGATAAGTCATTTGGTTTTGGTAGACTAAAGAATGTAGCCGGAAATGTGAATCAGAGTTCTGTTCAGGTGAACAATCTCTAACTCTAAGCTTGGTAATAAATTCACATATGTATTAAATTATGTATAGACATGACAAAAAAAACGTGTAAAATTGGACAGTGCCTCCATTTCTGAGGTATGGGAAGTACTGTGGACTACTATACAGTGGATGTCCTGGGGAGAGACCTTGTGATGGTCTTGATTCTTGTTGCATGAAACATGATGCTTGTGTCCAATCAAAGAATAGTAATTATTCACACACACTCTCTAGTCCCACTTTTACTTAATATTTTCTATAAAAGTGTTACAATTTTGATTACTTTATGTTTTATTTCTGATGAGCAGATGATTATTTAAGCCAAGAGTGTAGTCAGAAGTTCATCAACTGCATGAACAATTTCAGCCAGAAGAAGCAACCGACGTTCAAAGGTAACAAATGCGACGCTGATGAAGTGATTGATGTCATCTCCATTGTCATGGAAGCTGCTCTTATCGCCGGCAAAGTCCTCAAGAAACCCTAACTATTTATATATATTTTTCTAGTTATAATTGTTTCCCTTGTTTTTTTTCCCTCAGGACATTTGTCTTAATTTATCAAAACTAATATTAAGTAATACTATAGCTTTTTGTCAAACTTAGGCCTTGTTAGAGGAATAGTGTAGGCGTCCGTGAATCAGCAATAGGGTCACGAGGCAAGGTTAACGGATATATAGGTGTTTTGGTCTCCAAACGGATTTACTTACATGGTGGCATTGTTACATTGAAGTTATCTACACAATTGCATATATACGATTATAGGACAATTGTAATAATGGTTTCATGAGTAATCTATCCGCGGATATGGTTTTACAGAGGGGAAATTAGAGCTTTATGTACTAAGGTAAAACAATGAGGGGAATAATCACTCTCAATAAGAGAAAGTTATAAGATACGTTAGAGCCCACTATATCGGTCTTCTAAAAGTTGTGTGCCAATATCAAACTGTGGAGACTAACTTGAGGAGAAAGGCCCAATATATCGGTCTTCTAAAAGTTGTGTTTCTTTTTTGTTGTTTAACTTGTTGTTAAAGTTACCTTGGTTGATTGGTTATTACTTATTAGTTATTACATGTCATTATAACAATTAGTTACATAGTTTTCGTTGCTTGATTGCTAATATAATAATGGGAAAATTAGAAATAAAAGATGTTTTAATGGATAAATGTCCATATATACTTTTCTATAAAAAGTTTGGTGAAATAGGTTTTTAAAAAAATCAAAATCCAAATTTACCCCCATATTTTTGAATATGTAATTAACAAAATTTTTTAAAAATTTATTTCCTAAGTTATTTACAGAATTTTGAACTGGGCAGTAAAATTTGAAGCGAAGAATTAGCTTAGGCACCTCTAGTCCATCTAGAGGCTTTGATCACCGGGAATATTTACATTTTTCGCCGGATTTGGGAAAGATTTTATTGTTTTTCGTCGTAATCTTTGTTAACTTTCCATATTTTTGAGAAGTTTAACCTAGTTTTCAAAGCCTCTGCCGTAGATTGCTTCTCAATTTCACCATCGATGTTCTGAAGCAACTTCAAAGGAGGTCTCTGTTTTGTGCGAGTTTTTCATATGGAATTTGCTTTGGATAAAGCTCTACAGGAGATGTCACTGGATGATGATAAACCAATTGTCTTGAAAAACTTACCTAAATACAGCTCCGTCGTACATAATGGCTGCAGTATTATCGGAAGGCTTCTGTGCCCTGAGAATCAGAAGATGTCAAGCATGATACATGAGATGCCACGATTGTGGAGAGTTAGCAGCAGAGCAAGGGGAATTGCGCTACCAAACGACAAATTTCAGTTCATCTTTGACTCGGAATCAGATCTTTTAACGATTCTCGAAGCTGGATCTTGGACTTATAATGATTGGAGTATGACCTTGGAGAGATGGACTGAGAATCCGCTAGAAGACTATCTTAAGATCATTCCGATTTGGATCAGATTAAGGAACATCCCGGTGAATTATAATATGGAAGAAACAATCAAAGATTTTGCAGAACATATTGGTCAAGTAACAAATGTGGCGTTTGATCCCTCGAAACCAAGAAGCAGAGGTTATGTCAGAGTGCGAATCCTTTTTGACATTTATAAGCCTTTGAAGAACAGTAGGGACCTACAACTGCCAACGGGAGAGATTGTTAGCATTGGTATTGAGTATGAACGTATCAGGAAGAGATGTTACCAGTGTTTACGCCTAACACATGATAAAGAGCGGTGCCCTTTTAACCCTGCAAACCGGCAAGTAATTGCTACGGGAGGGATAAAAGCTGCAAGTATCATCTCGAGTCGTCTAATTCCAAAGATAAGCAAAGATGATCCTCTGTTTGGAGTTTTATCGGATGATGATGTGGGTATTGATTTGGTTTCGGGGAAACCAAAAATTGCAAAAGAATTTTTAGATGAGATGAGACAATACTTATCGGTTGTGGATCAACAGGAGAGGAAGATTCGAATTGATAGGGTTCGCAAATCGGTTTGGGGACTTGAGAATGACATTCAAGGCCAAAAAACTTTGCTGCAGTTGGAGGCTCCTGCAAGAATCACAACTGATATCAATAAAGGGAAAGGGTTAGTGTTTGATTTTGAACACTCTGACAACTCTCCAGAAGACATTGCTAACTCACCAAGGACAAGTATCACAGATGGAAAACAATCTTTGGCTCACAAAGATCTTCAGACCGCACGTCTCTCTTATTCTAATTCATATGTCACAGCTCCTGAACAATCTTGTGGTTCTATGGTTTTTCGGACTGGCTCTACAGTTAGTCCAGCCGGGATCAAAGGAAAAAATGTAAAGAACCGGAGACGTCCCAATAAGTGGAAGAGAAAAGTTCAAGCTCGTGCTAAAGTTTCTGGTCTTGGTGCTCCGTAGGAGGTACAACAGAATGAAGTAGTAATAGTGTATAAGCGCAAGGCTACTGAGGAAGCCGTTAACTCATCAAACTCGCAAAGCGAGACGAAGAAAAGGTGGTTCCGGTTGAGGAACCGCCGAAACAAGTATGAGTTTTATGAGCTGGAATTGCCAAGGCTTGGGGGGCACCTTGACAATTCCTACCTTGAAGGAAATGCGGCGTGAGCATTTTCCGGATTTCTTGTTCCTCCTGGAGACTAAAAACTCCAGCATTCACGTGAAGAAAATTCAACAATGGATGGGCTACGATCACTCTCATATAGTTGATCATATCGGGTTAAGTGGTGGATTAGCACTTTTCTGGAAGTCAGCTTATGAAGTTGAGGTTATTAGCTCGGATCAAAGGATTATTGATGTAAAAGTTAAGCTTGGATCTCATCAGTTTTTTATTTCTTGTGTTTATGGTGATCCAGCCTCTCATTTAAGACAAGTAATTTGGGATCGATTAATTGATATTGGAGTTTTTAGAGATGATCCCTGGTTGGTTTTGGGAGACTTAAATGAGATTCTTAATAATACAGAAAAGCTTGGTGGACCAGTACGGGCGGAATCATCTTTCTTTCCTTTTAGGAATATGATAAGTGATTGTCGTCTACGGGAGGTCCCAAGCATTGGAAATAAATTCTCTTGGGCTGGAGAACGTAATAATCAATGGATACAATGTTGTTTAGATCGTGCACTTGGGAATGAAGCATGGTTTCACCTCTTTCCACGGGTTCAAGCAGAGTTCTTAGAACGCGTTGGTTCAGACCATAGGCCTTTATTCCTCCGGTTTGTTAGTGAAAAGATAACCAGAACAGGTAGGTTTATGTTTGATAAGAGGTGGACGGTGAAACCAGAGCTTTTAAATATCATCAGAGAAGGCTGGAGTAAAGAAGGCAATACAGGTCAATCGGATATACTTCGTCGTATTTCTGAGTGTCGAAAGCTTTTATCACAGTGGAAACGCAGCTCTACACAAAATTCAAAAATACGTATAAAGTATTTGCGTAATCAGTTGGATAATGAAGGAATGAAGGTACATCCTCACCATGGCTTGATGCGTTCTCTTAAATGGGACTTAGCGGAAGCGTATAGAGAAGAAGAACAGTATTGGAAACTTCGAAGTAAAGAAAAGTTGTTAAGTGAAGGTGACCGGAACACTAAATTCTTTCATGGCTCTGTTCAAAGACGAAGAGTTCAGAATCGGATCCTTTCTCTTTTTGATGATAATGAGGCTGAACAGTTTGCTGAAGGTTCGAAAGGAGAGATTGCGGTGGAGTATTTCCGGAAGATGTTCACAAGTTCTAATCCTTCTCTTATTTCTGAAGCTTTAGAAGGGATGTTACCAAGGGTTACAGAGAGTATGAATACGGAACTGACTAAGCCGGTTACAAGTGAGGAAATTAAGAAAGCGGTTTTTAGTATTCGTGGCGACAGCACGCCCGGGGCAGATGGTATGTCAGCTCATTTTTATCAAACATATTGGGACATTGTTGGACCACAAGTCATTGTTGAGGTTCAACGATTTTTTCAATCTGGTATTCTACCATCGGAGTGGAATTTTACACAGATTTGCTTGCTTCCAAAAAAGGTTAATCCTTCCCGAATGACTGATTTACGGCCTATAAGTTTGTGTTCGGTAATTTATAAGATTGTTTCGAAGATCTTATGTGCGAGACTTAAATTGTTTCTGCCTAATATCATATCGGCAACTCAATGAGCTTTTGTCGCCGGGAGACTCATCTCCGATAATATTCTTCTTGCCCACGAAATGGTCCATGCTTTGAGAACAAATCCGCATTGCGATGAGGACTTCATAGCCATCAAAACCGACATGTCAAAGGCTTATGATAGAGTGGAATGGAATTTTTTAGAGGAGTTGCTTATCAAGCTTGGTTTCAACATTCGTTGGGTCCAATGGATAATGAGTTGCGTTAGATCGGTCTCTTATTCGGTTCTTCTTAATGGTTCATCTTATGGTTTCATCAAACCGGAGAGAGGCATACGTCAAGGCGATCCGCTTTCTCCTTTTCTTTTCATCTTATGTGCTGAAGCTTTTGTACATATAATGAATAAGTCGGAAATGGAGGACCTGTTAACCGGGCTGCGATTAACACCGGCTTGTCCTACAATACAACATCTTTTGTTTGCGGACGACAGCTTGTTCTCGTGTAGAGCCACATTCCGAGAGTGCTCCGAGCTTAAACGCTGCCTCCTTCTCTACGAAAAAGCGTCAGGACAAATGATAAATTTTACAAAGTCTGCAATTACTTTTGGGAGGAAACTTGATCCATACATGAAGCAGCTAATTAAGGAATTTACTGGTATTGATCAAGAGGGTGGTACCGGAAAATATTAAGGTCTCCCGGAGTGTTTTAGTGGATCTAAAAGTGCACTTCTTGGTTACATAAGCGATCATTTGAAATCAAGATTAAGTGGTTGGTATGAGAAAACGTTATCCCTGGGAGGAAAGGAAGTGCTCATAAAATCTGTGGCATTGGCATTACCGGTTTATGCTATGTCCTGTTTTAGATTGACTAAATTCCAATGTCAAAAACTTAAGAGTGCTATGTCAAGTTTTTGGTGGAATGCAAGTGAAGACAAGCATAAGATGCATTGGGTTTCCTGGGATAAAATTTGTAAGTCTAAGGCAAAAGGTGGCTTGGGTTTTAGGGATACTAGACGTTTTAATCAAGCCCTTCTTGCGAAACAAGCTTGGCGTCTTCTTGATGATCCGCAGTCTCTTATTTCCAGAGTGTACAAGGCTAAGTACTATGCAAATAAAAGCTTCCTAGATGCGAAAATTGGGTATAGACCTTCTTATGCATGGCGTAGCATTTTATTTGGTAGAGAACTGCTGGAAAGAGGTCTCATGAAGACTATAGGGGATGGTCAAAATACCAATGTTTGGGTTGATAAATGGATTTTAGATACATTCCCAAGGAGACCGATTAACAAGGAGCTAATGATGGATTTAAACCTTAAGGTGTCATCTTTAATAACAGCACATGGAGAATGGAATGTTCTGAAGCTTAATGAACTCGTTCCTCCTTGTGATGTTACCCACATTAGATTCTTTCCACCTGAAGTTAGTGTAGCCGATAAAAGTGTGTGGGCCTACACAAAAGATGGCAACTATTCTGTGAAGAGTGGTAATTGGGTGCTCACGAGGGAAGCTGATCTAATGGAGGTCATCCCTGCAGATTTGCAAGCCGCTAACAAAACTAAAGAAAGGGTATGGAAGGTTTCTACATCTCCAAAGATAAGAATCTTCTTATGGCGAGTTTTATCGGGTGCCCTTGCGGTTGCTGTTTGCTTAAGGCGACACGGTCTTAATATTAATCCAGTGTGTCAGCTCTGTAATGGATCAAATGAAACAATATCTCATGTTTTGTTTGATTGTCATTTGGCTCATAATGTCTGGAGTATCACGGGCTTGCCTTTGTGGTCACACGGATCACCTATCTCCATTGCTGAACGGGTTGATCATCTTTTGAATCTAATGGAGAAGCAAGATGTAGATAAAGAGTGGCGAGAGGCTATTCCTTGGTTATTATGGGGGATTTGGAAGGCAAGGAACTCTACTCTATATGCGGCGAATACTAACTCTCCATATTTTGTTGTTGCAACAGCGTTGGCAGATACAAAAGAGTGGTTACAGCAAAATATTCTCTCTCAACAAGGCACTGTTCTAAGAAATCAGAGACAAATGGTGGGTGAGAAGTTATGGACTAAACCTGCATTTGGGAAAATTAAATGCAACATCCATACTTCTTGGATCAAGGACTCATGCCATGTTGGAGGAGCTTGGATTGCACGGAATCATGCGGGGGATGCCATTTTTCATACACGGGATGCTTTTCTACCGATGTTTAATCGTCTCGCTGCGGAGCTTCATGGTATACTTTGGTGTCTTCGTGGTTTAAGAGATATCCATATCGTATCGTGTGAACTTTGGTCCGATTGTGGTGCGGCTATTGATGCTTTACGCAGACCAGAAGTTTACCCTAAATACCGTTCTCAGCTTTTAAAGATACAACAAGTAATACGGGTGATGCGGGAGGTTAGTTTTCACCTCTCTTCACCGAAAGCCAATGCTTTGGCTAGGGAGATTGCTTGTAGTGTTACTCGAGATGGACGCTTTACATCTTACTTAGCACGTGGTGGTCCGGCTTGGCTCCACAACAGGATTGAGGACGAGCGGCGAGGTCGGCGTTGATTGTTTTCTCTAGCTCTGTTTTCTCTGTTTTTTCTTTTTAATTTGCTCTGTTTTTGTTTTCTCTCTGTTTTGCAAACATCTACATTGATTTTATACCAAGACGACAAAAAAAAAAAAGTTATTTACATAATTCAGATAAAACCAAACCATAAAACCTTTGTTTTTACCAAACCATAATTCCTGTTTTTTTTTTTTGGTGTAGCCCGGGGAGACAAAGTCTCCCCGTAATTTATTCAGAAACTAAAGAAAAGAATTAAGTTCGGATATGCCTTGGAAACGCAGTTCCGCCGTCATCATCCCTTACAATCGACTCAACAACAGTTGGAAGAGACTCCAACAAATGAAAACCTAAAGATAAATCAAAGGCATAGTTGGCTAACCCGTCGGCTAGACGGTTAGCTTTCCTATAAACATGCGAAATTCGAACTATCCAGTCCCTAGATAAAAAGCTATGGCACACGCGTACCAGAAAAGACAAGGGGTGAGCCTCACTAATCCCCTTGTTCAAAAAACCCACCACCAACTCCGAGTCAACCTCAACCTCCAACCGTGTTATGTTCTTGCTCCAAGCCATAATTCGTGTTTGACTTATACCAAACCATAATTCGTGTTTGACTTATACCAAACCAGCCCATAAAGAGTTAAAACCTTTGTTTTTCTTTTTTTTTTTTGTTCGTAGAACACAATCACGTGTATCTATATATACATTTTTGGAACACTTTTAGCAAATAAATCCTGGGTTGGGCAATATTTACAAAGAATACCATTGGCATTTATTATTACTTTTACAAAATTTAAATAAAAGATATTAACCAAACAATATCTTGCCTAATTTGTTTCTAAAAATCTCTACACAATCTTTCCATATATATCTTCAAAACAATTTATAGCAGATATTTATATTAACATTTTGCATAGCAATAAAAATACTAATTTATAATAATCAAAATATTCACATTGAAAAATCAAATACACATACAGGAAAAATAACTATATCTATCATCATTTAAGCCGTTGCTTTATTTAAATAAATAAAAAAACACAAAAACTTGAAATCATCTACTTTATATGATAAATTTAAAATATATATTAGTAGTATAAATTTAAAATCGTTCAAAGAACGGTATACTACGGGTGAGATCCTAAAATTATTAGATTTTATAACAATAATAATTTATTTTCTTGGATTTTATAATACTAATAATTTAGCTAACGAGATAATATAGACGGGTTTATATGGGATGACAGGTTTGGGTCGATATTAATAAATAACGGTATATCACGGATGAAATCCTAAAATTAACAATCAAAATACAATTATACAATCTTAAACACAAAACAAAAGAAACAATATTAACAAAATAAATCCAACTTAAATTTAAAATTTTTAGTTATAAAAAAAACCGACCCACGGTATACTGCAGAGTAAAATATTCAAAATTTTAAAATCCACCATACATCGTTACTTAAAAAAAATGTATGTTTTCGTATCTATACTTCAAAAATTGATAGATAGATATCTACATTTAAAAATACAAATAATATGATATATCTTCAGTTAATCTTTTATAAAATAACATTACATTTTTTAAAAAAATATAGCCCCGCGGTATACCGCGGGTTAAATTCTAGTATTGGTGTATAATCGTGTATAGAACTGAGAACTCAATCTTATAATTCGTTTAATTCTAGCTCACGTGTATATTGGTGGGAAACTTGACAACCATATGTTTATATCGTTAAGACTAATCGGTATACAACACTTATTTATCTTTCATCATAATTTTCCGGTTTACTAAAATTAACTTGTTTGGGTTTTACGATTTCTATTTTTTTTTCATCTGAAAAATTAAGAATACGTATTCTAAACATCCTCAGATCGTAATCTAAACAATAAAAACGTAATATTTAATAAATATTCAGTTTCCTTTTTGAAATATTCACTTTCTATATTTAGGAATTCTAAAAATTCCAGAATTTGAAATCTATATTATTTTAGAAAATAAATTCTAAAATAATAATACACTAGAAATTCACCCGCGGTACACCGCGGGGCTATTTTTTTTATGAAATATATTATTTTAATATTTATGCTTTTGTAAATATTATAGGATATAGATTGAGTTGCTTTGAAATTTATTAAGATTGTCGCAGTTAAATATATTTGGAATATTTTTAATAAAAAGTATTATAGTTTGTTAAATGTATAAGAATGTTATTCGTTATTATGTCTAAATATGTGTATATTGTTAGTTAAGTTTTATTTTATATCTATTAGATTTTAAATTATTTATATTACTAAAAACATATCTTAATTTACTATGAATATCCAACACCAAAAATTGCATATTTATTGTATTTTATAACGGGTTCCACAGATCACAACATCTCATAATTTAGAGATCTCGAAACTTTGCTAAGCGTTGCAAAAAATTTTATTGGCCCAAATATTTAGAGATCCCATACGAATAAAATCCAACCAATGTAAGAAGCCCATATTAGTAATAAAACCCATTTGGCCGAGGAGACTAAACGATGGAGATCGTCACTGGTTTGGCACGGATAATCGCGGCGACAACAACAACAATCGCTTTCTCTCCTAATCCTCTCTCTCTAAGCGTCCTCGATCCTGCTTTCGAATCTTGGCTCCGAGATTCCAGCTACCTCGAGCTCCTCGATCACCGCACCTCTGCTGCAGCCGCCGCCGCTTCCTCCTCCGCCTCCGTTTCATCCTCAGCTGCCGCAACTTCTGCGGCGTCTGACGATGAACATCCATTACCGGTGGTTTCTTCGCTTCTCTTTTGTCTCGACGCGTCACTGTCTCTTCTCTTCTTACAATTAACCCTTTCTCCAAGCTCTCCGATGATTTTTCCGGAGATACGCCACCGTGGACCACCGGTTTCTTTGGCAATTGTGACTCTTATTCGTTTCCAACGTCTTCTCAGCAAGCGAGAATTAGAGTTCATGAGTAAATCAAACGATTCGCTAGGAATTACACTACGTTATTCATCGTCTTCTTCGCTTGTGCACTGTGAGGACCCATTACTCTTAATTGGATAAAGGCTAAAGCTTTAGACATTGTTTGATACAGTTAAAAAGTATGAATCTTGAAATTGGGTGCTATTCAAATAGTGCAGTGCCAGATGGAAATTTGATCGTCACCCTAAAAGGCTTCATTGTTACTCTCCTTATCACGAAAAATCTTACCATAAAAGATTGATCTATCCATAAGGGAAACAGAAGGCTTAAGTGAAGATTCGAGGAAGATTTGAGGAAGATATGCGGTAACAAAGTGACCCCATATAGGTTTAATGCGAGATTTTGGTAACTGAATAATTAATGTCGTTTAAAATTTTTGTTTTTGGCAAAGATCCGATTGCCACAATTTCGGGTCAATTGGGAGCAAAAAAACCCACCCAACCAATGGCATTCTTTGTAAATACTTCACAACCCCAGGATTTATTTGCTAAAAGTCATCCAAAAATGTATATATAGATTTTCTAACGTTTTCAGAACATGTAGTCAAAAATCGTGGATACATTCATTCAAACTCGTCTGGATACAAAGATAATTGCAATCTAAAAAACATCATGAGATGCTAGATAAATTGAAGAGTACAATATAACTTTGGGTGTTTAGTATTTTATTAATGTATTTTATAGAAATTAATTACATGGGACGATGAGTATATCGGAATATACTTGGAGCTTCTTGATGTTGAGTTGGCTAAAATTAAATACAAGCAAAAGATGCCGAAAGAAATGAGACGAGACCGGATTTGTGAAAAGTTTTTGGAAACAACTGGTATAAGTCTTCCTTGGGATTCTTTCAAGAGCAAATACGACACCTTGAGAAATAAGTGGACTTCTTATAAGAGGCTGATAAATTTCACTGGAATGCACGTTGATCACAGCACAGGTTTGCAAAGGCGGAGCCAATGTATAGGGAGGGGGGTCAATTGACCCCCATGACATTTAAAAATTCTTAATTATAAGGTATTTTACTTAATAATATTAGTTGTTTTGGTATAAATTTTTCATGTTGACCCCTATGCCATATGATCATCTCCTACCTTTGACCCCATTCATATTCATTTTTCTTATTTAACATTAGTTCCATTTTCATTTTTGTTTTGTGTTTTTTTTAAGAAGAGACTATAAATATCTAACATTTTCTTACATATTGATTTATTTTTTCTAATAAAATATCCTGTTTTATTTATTTTCTTACCTTCTTTTCAAAATTCTTACCGAATATAACACCTAATTACTCTCCACAATATACTATAGATTAGATAAAAATATATTTTGAGAAAAGTAGTTCACATAACTAAAATAAAAATAAAAATATGGATTACATGTATCTTTGATTAAAAGTTGAAGAATTTTAAATAGTATAACATAAATTTATATTAAAAATATATTTATTTTTGTTCTAGGTAATAAAATGTTCTCTACACAATTTAAACAATAATTTTTATTATACTTTACATATATAATTTTAATATAAATATATTATTAAATATAAATGACCCCTATAGACCAAATATTTGGCTCCGCCATTACCATGGATTCTGACTGGTGGAATGACCGTGAAAAGGTAATTTATGGTTTTCCTATAGTTTAAATTATTTAAGTTTGTGTAGTATCTTTTGGTTTGAGTTTAATTAATATATTTTTTTGGGTTTTTTGACAAATGAGTTCTCGATTTTTAAAGCTCAAAACTAAGATGACATACCACGAAGAAGAAATGCTTTTGAAGCAGAGATAAGTGTACACTTCAAAGAAATGATGGAATTTCGTCGTGATCAAGTGGCAGAAGCAAGAGAGCGTAGAGATCAAGAATGAAGCTACACCTTATAAAGAGGCATATGGAGTCTTGCAATCAATTCAAGGTCTGATAAGGTGGACCGATTTTTGGTGGGCTTGTATCAAAGTACTAAAGGAGGACCTGTTTGCCCGAGAAATGATGGTCTCTTGTGAAAATGATCACAAAAAGATCACATTTTTGGAGGGTTATACGGGATATGATCGCCATTCATATTTCATTGGAGATCGTCTCAATAAATTGCAGAGTTGCAAAAGTGGTCTTCCAAGTGTCGTCAACCTAGAGCAAAACATCAGTAACACAAACATGGAGACTCACGAAGAATTCAATGCATCTCATGCAGAGCTCATGTCATTGTTTAAAGAAATAAGATATGAACGTGGAACCAGAAAAACGGGTTGTGATGGAGAATCAAGTCAAACAAAGATTAATCTAGAAGATTAAAAATATTTCAATAATTTTTCTTTCTTTTTTTTTCTATGGGTTTTAAATTTAGTTTTTGATTGTTTTTCCTTCCTCAAAGCTAATAAATTAGTTTTGTTTTTGCTTTACGTTTTACATGTGTTATGAATAATAAAGTATGTTCTAATCCCCTTTTCTTGTTTTATTCTCTTGTATTTATTGGTCATACGCTTAAACGAGTTGTATTCTCGAGGTTTAAAAAATCTTACACAAGACGAGTTGCTAGAGCTGTACAATCTAGAAGACGAAGAGTATATAAATATGATAGTGCAGCCTTTGATGGAGTATTACAAGCGTTATTTTTCTAAACAACCAATGGCGACCGAACGAGGATTGGGTTGGCGTAACCTTGAAAATCAGATTCATAATAACCCGGTACATTGTATGAACATGTTAAGGATGCATCCAGAAGCATTCAAGAACCTATGCACACCACTGGAGCAACGTTACAACTTATGTAGTACTGATCATATCAGTATTGATGAGATGGTGGCTATATTTCTCGTTACATGCTCCCATAATGATACTCAACGGTATGTTGGGTTGTCTTTTGGTTGTTCCCAAGAAACTATCTATCGAAAGTTTCATGTTGTATTGGATGCAGTGGAGAGTCTTGCATGTTAGTATTTAAAAACTCCAACACCGGCATCACTCAAGCATTATCCACGTAAGTTACAAGAAGATTCAAGATATTGGCCTTTCTTCAGCGAATTTGTTGGAGCACTTGATGGAACGCATGTCAAGGTAATGGTCGGAGGTAGTGATGCAGTTGGGTATTGGGATAGGCATGGACAAACAAGCCTAAATATAATAGCCATATGCGATTTAAACATGATCTTCAAGTATGCATGGCTAGGCGCAGCTGGTTCCACACATGATTCATTGGTGTTACAGTACGCAAAGGATGGAGATCCTATATTTCACAAACCTCCTATAGGTAAATATTATCTTGTTGATTCTGGTTATGCAAACAAGTGAGGATTTCTAGCTCCATATAGAGGAAACAGTAGAGAAAATATCAGATATCATCTTTCAGAATTTTATGCTGGTGCTCCGAGAAACAAAAAGTAATTGTTCAATAGGTGGCATACATCACTGCGTTATGTGTTTGAAAGAACATTAGGAGTTTGGAAAAAAAATGGAGGATATTAGACAATTTGTCTCGTTATGATGTCAAGACTCAGAACAGAATTGTGCATGCTACTATGGTTCTCCACAATTTTATTAGGCTTTATAGAATTCTAGATGCTGATTTTGAAGAAGAAAATATCACTGTTCGAGATAATTGTGGGCGATGATTTGCAGATGAAGAACTTAATCGACTTGAGGAAGAAGAGGCAACAACTGATGGCCAATATATGAATAACATACGAGATGAGATTGCAAATATGTTATGGAATGTACGTCGTTAGTTTTTTTTTTTAGTATTATGTCATGATTTTTTAATTATTACCATTTATTTAATCTATTTTACTTATTAATTTTTTTAAAATGTCATTCTTATTAATAATTTTTATTTTATTTATTTTATAATATATACTGCAACTGGTACATCATAAATGTTACGAGTCAGTTGTTTTAAGAAAAATCTCAACTCATATTTCTAAAGCAAATTAAGACATCAAACTGCAGTTTTTACCACATAATTTTTACAGCAAATTACATCAAATTGCAACATCTACTACAACTCAATTTTACTAACGCGTGCTACCATTCGGAGCGTAAGAATGACACATGATAAATAGAATAAAGTTTGTCGTGAACAACACTAAAACGCTCCCTGGTACAATGTTCTCAATAATATCACAAAAGTTTTAGGGAATAATTAGTTATATAATGGAGTAAAGAATCACTAATTATGAGATGGTAAAATACTTCAAGTTTTTTTTATTCTTTATCATCCAACATTATACATCAACTTAACCCAAAAAAACGAAACAAAAAATGGATTTATTGAGATACGCATATTAACTCATGAATTTATCTACTTTTACTATAATAAAAGAACTAGGAGCGGTCCCCGCGCCCGGCGCGGGGTTGTAGGGATTTTAATACCATTATTAGTAATGAACAATTAATAGTGTTTAATCATAATATATATAATAGAAACATAAATGAGAAAAATGATATATTTAAACAATAGATATATTATTAAAATAATGATAGTTGCATAAAAAAATGCAATAAAAAACTGGATTTTGGTTGATGTTGTGTGTCATGATTTTTTCTCCACATTGCCTTAGTTTGGTTCAAAGGTGATGTGTTTAAGCATGTTTTTAATATGTGGGTTAGTCACTTAAAAAATAGACCACTCGTTAAAAACTGGTTTCGTGGGGATAAATTCAATCTGATGAATGTTGTCTATGCACTTTTGCAATGGAGTCTCGAAATCATCTCATGTTCCTCTGTAAGCGCTTCCGAGGAGTGAAATTTGTTTTTTTCTAGGCTTTATTCTCGACAAAAGTTGTTTTGCTCTTGGGCTAAGCTACTTTCTTGGACTTGACGCTCTTCCTCTCTTGAGACACTTAAATAATTGTCCATTCATCAAAGACAGGCTTCTTGGGAATAAATTCAATCTGATGAGTGTTTTCTTTGCATTTTTGCAACGGAGTCTCGGGATCACCTCCTGCTCCTCTGTAAGCTCTCCCCATGTGCGGAATTTGGTTTTATCTATGCTTTATCTATGAAAAATATTAGTTTAAAGAATATAAACTGTTATAATTGAATTTTGAAATTCTTTCAGGAAGCAGGATAATAAACCAGACGTGTTCTTTTGTTTCGAGGTAGTTTTGTCATTAATCATTAAAAATTAATTCGTCTTCTATAAATTTTGGCTTATCGTTAGAAAAATGTAGTGGTCATATCATCGTCTGTGTGATTTGATTCGCAAAATTAGAGTATTCTCAAGGTGTTGACCTACATATATTAATATGTAATTGTGTATATGTTGTGTAATTTTCAAATGTTTGTTTTAAATATGTTATTTTGGTTTGATTAGGTGTCTTAAGGAGAACTACTGCACGTATATGCAATCAGGTTCTGTTCAACCCTACATGTCTAGAGTTTTGGAGGATGTGGTATTTTTTTGCTGGCAAGGATCACACATTTTGCACTTGAGATTCCGAGACTCCGTTGCAAAAGTGCAAAATGTGCTTAATAACTATAAATTTTTGTGATCCTTAACACAAAACGACTCCGCATTCCTGCAACTTTCAGCACACATACGGTTTACTTTTCATTATAATACTAAAAACAAACAATATGTATTAAAAATATATGTTGTTAAGTTTTTCAAACAATAAGCTGAAAACGAATTAGGGTGTATTTTGAATGCTTTTCAAAATAGTAAAAGTCAAAATATCATTATAATTTTAAAAAGTGCACTTTCAAATATGAAAAAATGAATAACATTTTTTCAAATTCAAAGAAACACTCTTATTCTTTCATTTTGAATTTGGAAATAGAGAGAATGTTACGTCAAAAATGTAAACTAATTCAAGAACCATAAAACAATCCGACCTTATTGTTCACAATAATGATTAGTGAGCTAAACTAATAATCAAACCTGTACTTTAATGGATCAAACAATAATCCACAAACAAAAACCTAATCATTACGTTGCAACAAAGGTCCATAATATATAAACTGGATATTAAAATAAATATGTAAAAATAAACTTGTCCCCATGTTAAAGCTCATCTGACCAACTGTTGTTGATGGGTTGAGGGAACTTCAGTGCTTAAAGAGATCAGTTCCATTATGAGCAATCCCTGTTAATTTTCAGAAAATGATCAAAAGTTGATCTAGAGTCCAAGATATATGCAGGACTTAGGAATAGACAGTACCTTTATCATTACTTCGCGTATGAACATCTCCACAAACTCCTCAGCCATCTTCTTTGTGATCATATCAATATGGCAAGTACCAAACCTTAGAGACCACACATGAGAATCAACTATTGAACTTTTGTTTTTGGGTCTTACCAAATGTAGAGACATTCCAAAAATTAAATACAGGGATGCCACCACAATCTCCAGCATCACTTGAATCTTCCTTAGAGCAAGAGAACTGTACAAGTGACTCGGTACCTAGCTTGGTATAACATCTCAGAGATCTGCTTGCATTTACCATCTCAACAACAACAGCTACCTGCATTTTTCTAAAGTTTTCTTTATAGATTCCAAATTACAAGAGAATAAATTTCCCAAATTTACAAGATTTAGCATTGTTACACTCACCATTTCCTTGTACGACGATAAAAGCTTGATTCGATAAGCACTCTGAACATAGAAAGACTTAGTTTGTGAGTTAAAACGAAAGAGATTGAACGCATGAGAATGAAACGAAAGACGAAGAGAGTATTGAAATGCAACTTTTCACCTGTTGCTTAGACAGCTTCTTCAAAGCGTTCTTCTTGATATCAAACATGTTACTCGACACACCAAGCTCCATCATTGGCATATACCTATTGCCACGGAAAAACATAATATTAAGAATCAATCTTCTTACTCAAACACTCCTCAAATCACCAAAGTGAAACCAATTCCAAAACGATTGCTTTTTAGACGTTCTAAAGCAGAGAAAAAAAAATATCAGTGAGAGCTTCCGAACAAATGAAATCATATATTCTGTTTCAGCGATATCAAAATAAAATAAAAACACATAGGAAGAAGACAAAAAGAAAGACAGACACTTTATCAAAGCCAGAGAGAAAGAGAGGGTTGATTACCAACTCGAGTTTTGTGGGTCTCGACCCGTACCCGCAGACACCGTTCTTAAGTAATATATATATAATCGGTCGTTCGGGATACGATTCACTTCCACCACCGTTTTGCAATCCTAACCGCTACATCCAAGCTACAAACACCACATTAAAAAAACAAAAACTTTCAATTCACACATAAACCCTAATCAGACACTAATCTTAAAGAAGACAAAGAGTGCCATTAACGTTACCGTTGATGCTGGTCACGTTTTCTGGGGCGGTCCATCCGTTACCGTTGATGTTGGTCACGTTTTTTGGGGCGGTCCATCCAAGTAATGAATCCGACCGCAAACCATCATCGCCGGTGCCACCGTACCTGAGTGGTCTACTTTGAAATCAGACCGATTGTGAGCCGTAATATTTCACGTCTTTCTCTCTACAAACCTACTTGTGTATGCAAATTCATCCTGCAATCATACGTAATGTAAACAACATTAATATTTTTATAAAAATCGAGCCATAAATAAATTACAGAAGAAAAAAAAACAGGGGTTAGTTGTGATCTAAAGGTGACTACCAATCCAGGTATTTATATAAAATTAAGAGGCGGTGTAATATCTACAACAAAAAAAAGGAAGATTTATATATTTTTTAAGAAGCGAATCTATATCATAACAATTAATAATTTAAAATTGTCTTATTCAATATTATACATATTAATTTTAAGTAACGTTTCATTTTATTTTAAGATAAAGATGGAATAATAACATAACGATTTAGATTTACTACTATATCTTACATTTGTTTAGATTTTCCGTCATTATCGACATAAAATATTTAAAAAATAAAATTTTATTAGAGATATGAATCAGATTTAAAGAATATACGTAGGATTGTTTTGATATTTTTTGCCAATATCTACTTATCAAAAAAGGAAAATTTAATTTTTAACTCATAATTATCACAAACGATTGGTTGGGAAAGAAAGAAAAAAACAAAAAAAAACGGAAAACAAAACGAAAAAAAAAAAGAAAAAAAAAAGGAAGACACACGACCATTCTCCGTCTCCTTCTACGAAATCCCACGTTTTTCATTACGATCAATGGAGGTTAATACACTTTCATCGAGTCTATATTCATTATTCGTACATGATCCAATCAGATAATTCAAGGTAATTTTAAAGAACACCCTCTTTTATTAGCTTGAACTCTATGGTGCAGGATAGCATCAATAATTCAATATGATGGTTTGAAGACTTGGCATGGACAAGATATTAATTAAGAGTCGTCTTTCCATCATGTCAGATTCGATCAAAAGATGATGTTTTATCACTAAATTATCGATTCTCTCTGGTTATATGCTATATTTTAGGTTTTCAAGTCTGGTATGTATATTAAAAAGTTTACATGCGACGAAGAACATGATGATGAGGTACGATGAACATCTTCTAAATTGGTACGTAAATTACAATCGATCCATTTTTTTTAGGTTTTCTTATTTTTTCGTGTTTACGAATATTATTAATTTTAAAAAATGTAAATTATATCAAATATTCACTTATTAGGGTTATTTATGTAATTGAACATTAGTTGATATTCGACTTGATTTAATAGAGGGTATTTAAGTAATTACGTAAAATCAAGGACTCAACAAGAGCCGAGAGTCCGACACATCAGCAAAAACACTTCTCAAATATTGTTATATATAGATAACTAAATTAGAAAAAGAAGATTATATGTATACTAGATATGGACCCGTGCGTTGCACCGATTACCGGTCGAAATTGTCATTTTTAATTTTTATTTTTGTAAGCTTAACTAAAATTATATAAAAATATGTTTTAATTTTAGAAAATATAGTATTTTAATTATTTTAAAATATAGATTAATTATGCATAATATGCAATACAAAATGCTATTTGTATCAGGTTTTATTGAAAGAAGAACCTAGAGGGAATATAATTCCCAAAAGAGGCTTGCGGCAGGGTGATCCCCTATCGCCTTACTTATTTATTTTATGTACGGAGGTCCTGATTGCTAAAAATAAAAAAGCAGAATGAGAAAAGAAGTTGACCCGAATTAAAATAGCAAAAAGAAGTCCTCCAATATCACATTTGCTCTTTGCGGATGATAGTCTCTTTTTCTGTAAAGTAGATATAGAGCAGTGTAAAACGGTGATGGATATTATTGAAAATTATGGTAAAGCTTCAGGGCAATAAATAAATTTTAATAAAGCTTCGGTCTTATTTGGTAAGCATGTTGCAAACCAAAAAAAGAGGAACTAAAAAATTTCTTTGGTATTACTAAGGAAGGTGGAATGGGTACTTATTTGAGTATACCAGAGAGCCTAGGGGGCTCAAAAAGTAAAATCTTTAATTACGTTTGGGAACGTCTTAATGAACGGATTAATGGTTGGTCAGCTAAATATCTCTCAAAAGGTAGGAAAGAGACAATGATCAAGTCTGTTGACTTGGCTCTCCCAACCTATGTTATGTCTTGTTTTAAACTTCCCCAAGAGTTAACATCTAATTTAACAAGTGCTATTTCTAATTATTGTTGGAGTTCCAATGGGAAAGACCGTGGAATCCATTGGATAGCATGGGAGAAAATGTGCAGGGATAAAGAAGAAGAAGGTTTGAGCTTTCATTCTCTCGATACTTTTAAATGATGTCATGCTGGCTAAACACTATTGGAGATTAATCAAATACCCAAATTCTTTAGTAGCTCGAGTAGTAAGAGGAAGATATTTCAGGAATGTTCATCCTTTAATTGCTAAAAAGCCAAACTCTCCATCGTTTGGATGGAAGAGTATTTTTTCGACCAAAAGACTTGTTGAAATGGGTGCAAGATGGTCCCTAGGTTCGGGTTTTAACATATCGGTATAGCGCGATCCTTGGATTCCCGATGTTAATCCACGATCCGCAAATGGAAGAGGGAATTTGTTACTTCCAAGCCTAATGGTTAACCATTTAATTAATCAAGTTTCTAAAGAATGGCACCTTCCAATTTTACAAGAATTTTTTGATCCGGTGGATATTCAAATTATTAGTCAAGTTTATAAACCAGATAGGCTTATTTAGTATTATACAAAATCCAGAAAATATACTGTAAAGTCAGGATATCGACTTGCTCAAGGGTTGACAGAAACGATCGAATGGGGCCCAAATTATAGAAAATTACAAGCACATGTTTGGAAAATCAAAGCTCCACCAAAAATAAAACACTTCGTATGGCAAATTGTTTCGGGATCCTTGGCAGTTACCTAAAATTTAGCACATCGAGGGATTCGTTGTGATATTCTGTAAAAGGTGTGAGATGGCAGAGAAAACAATAAATCATGTTTTATTTGAATGTCTTCTTTCAAAAAAAATATGGGAATTATCCACAATACCTATAGGTTCACGTATTTTTCCTCTAAGCTCGGAATTTGGAAATCTAGATTATCTTTATTGGAGGTTACTACATCCTCCATATGGGGGAGAAAGAACTAACTGTTTTGCTTGGATATTGTGGTTTATATGAAAAGATAGGAATAAAAAAGTTTTTAAAGGAATACAATCTGAACCTATAAATATCTTATATCACGCTTTGCGTGAGAAATCAATGTGGGAAGATGCTCAGTTGGAACCGATCAAAACTACAATAATTACGGAAATATTGGAAAGCCCAATCCAATCTTTAAGATGCCGGATGGACGGTTCTTGGAAATCTTCGGATCCAACTATGAGTATAGGATGGTGGTGTTTTCAAGGAAATGATCAAACGATATTGCTAGGTGCAAAGTACCTCCGGAGGTACAATCACCTAAAGAATGGCCAGCCTTCTCCAATCAGCTAGACGATTTTGGAATGCTCAGTGCCTCCTTCCCTTTATTCTCGCTTTCCCTTATCTTTCGTTTATGTAATGTTAAGGCGGACTGCTTAGCCCGTTCTTCTCGTCTTTTATTTTTCTGAAGTTACTTTTGTAAGCACTACTCCTCCTAATTGGACAACCAATCAAAAAATTTTCTAATAATTAATGTATGGTTGACAAGAAAAAAATACTATTTGTAGTTTTGTTTATTATATGTTACAGTATGATATTTAATCAATTTTCATATGTGTATTATTGAATTTTAATAAATTATCTACATTCATCGGAAGAGTTTGTAACACTTTTATAATTTCAATGTGGGCAAGATGGAAACAAAATTGCGACAATATGAGACAGTCTATATCCACATCATGTAATTTTACTTGATAATATGATAAATCCTCAAAACAAAAAGACAAATTCATAAGGAATCAAAGAATATGCGACTAAAAAACCTAAGACTTAACATGACTTCAGAAAATCATATTAACTAAACAATGTCTATTTGCTATATGGTTTCTGTCAAGTTTTGGCCCATATTACTCATGAGTTCGTCTCGTCGGCGAGAAGTCTCAAATCTCTCTTTTTCTCTAATTAGATTTCTCTTCTTTTTGCTTGATCTCCTCTTTCTTTTTCTTTCTCTCCCCCTCTCGTTGGATTTCTACACCACCATAATTTTTCTTTTTCCATATCACTATTTCTCTTATTCGTCGGGCGTCACAACCGAGTCTCACTACTACGACCCACTAGGCCACTACCACAACTGAATCTCACAACTATCACAATCATCATCACCGTCAATACTAAATCTCGCTAATTTCGACCCACCACCTTCATCAATATTTACCGCCACTACAACCAAGCTTGAACCACCGACATCAACACCAATACCACCTTCACCGCATCTTCCCCTCTTTCGCCAACTGCTCTTATTTCTTCACCTTCTTTATCTCCTCTGAAATCGGGTCGAGCTTCTTCGACAACAACTCTATTTTATGTCCATCCCCGTTCATAATTCTTAATTTGCCTCCATTACCAAATATTCTTAATTTGTTTATCTATTTATTTGTTTATCTATAAAGGTAATTATTTAGAATCATTTTTCTTTTAGAATTAATAATTGATTATAAAAAAAATTTAATTATCATATTATACAATAAAATTGTATAATTTCATAAATCTTTTTTAAATTTAAGGAAAAGTAATCTTTTTCTTTTAAAATTAGTAGATTTAAATTAGAATTAGTTAATAATTTTTTAATTTTAATTTTTATTTAATAAGATGCATATAGTTTTCTTATAATTATCTTCTTTACTTTTCAAAAATTATTTTTATAAGATATATATGTATAGTTGCCTTATAATTTTTCAAAATCTGATATCGATAAATTTGACATGTGGCACGATCCTATGAGTTACAGACTTTGAAAAGCATACTTTATATAATAAGATATATCGTTTATTAGATCAACACCAAAAAGACTTGAAATTATAGGTATTAGTAAATAGATTTTTATGAAAAAGGTATTAGTAAAACTTAGCAGCCAGGACGACCACTATAACATGTGCAGAAATGCCAGCCCTTAAATGTCCCAAGCATGTCTTGACAATCACAACGCTTAGTTTCTAGTAGTTTAGGTGGCTTCAAATCATGTAGGCACATCTTGGTTTCGTTAGTTCAACATTTTCCACGGTAACTTTGTCCAACTTGACACCCTGTTGGTTTCAATTGTCCTATTTTCAATTTACCACAAAATAGATTTAAAGATAAATTATTAGGTAGAAATTTATAAAACAAAATGTTAAAAAATTAACACTAGTTTCATATATAAATGATCAATATTTTTTAATTTTTTGCAAATAAAAAATTGAAATTAAAAGAAAATAATATGTTACCTTTAACATGGTTTAAAGCGATGAACATGAAAACACAGAAAACTATAAACCAAGTGATTGATCTCATGATTCAAAAAGATAAGATAAATCGTTATTTTACTTGCAGTATATTTTAGTCTTAAACTTAATATTGTTAAATATTTTTTTCTTTGTATACACTCATAATAAATATACTTAACACATACTAAAAATAGATTTTTACTAAACTAAATAAAACAAAGAAAACTAGAAATCAGGGAAATAAATGTGGTCGGGCCAAGTCAATCACAAGATTGGTGGTTTATTTTTAGTGTGCAACAGAATATCTAATTTGTAAAATATTATTAGTTTAAGAACACTGGATTTTAATGTAATTTAACCTTAAAATTATTAGATTTTTCGAAATTTATAACATATTATGATTTGTCATTTTAACACAAATCATTCCAAATGCTTGACTGAATACCTCCTTCTTCATCCATGAATGTGAAATGGTTAGCTGCAATTGTAACCGAAAATTTGATCTAATTACCGACGAATTTTGGATTGATCTATAATATCTAAGATAACTCTTCTCCCATTTCCATTTGTGTCTTCTTCACTTTATCTCTGCAAAACTTTAAAGGTTTACGAGCATATCTTACCACACTTAATCTTTTTTTAATTCTCAGTCCACATAATCCAACAATTGTTGCTTAGAACTGCTAAAACATTCCAACACACCTATATATATGCGTACCACTTTTAGAGTTAATCATTGATCTACCTTTAATTAAAACTTTGATATTGTCACAACCGCTCAAGATCCAAAGATGATTGTTTATTAATCATTTGACTAGACACATGATCAAATTTAGAGTGGCACAGTACGGGACCGCCCTGGACACATCAAAGTGAAACATTTGCTATGACCCCCAAATTTTTATGAAATTCTTCAGCAAAACTTATTCACAAAACAGCCTCAGTTTTATTTATTTTTACAATAATTGGCTTCAATTTTTTAAAACTTTAAAAATAACTATAATTTTTTTTGGAGCATTTGGCTCCAAAAATCTTAAGGCCAACCTGCTACTAAGATCTCTTCATATTGCAACAAGTAAAAAGTTATTAATCTATGGTTTTGTTTCATCGAAGTGGATACCAAAATGGATCAATGTTAACGTTTATAGAACAAAGGGACACGATGATAATAGATATCCTTGTCATAATCCTCTTTCCAGTTTAATGCGTTTAAACGGTTGTCAAATGATAAGCACCGATTGTGTGACTATTTTAAGTTTTAACACAACCTATTACGGTAATACCCAATAAACACATTTCTCATTAAACCCAAAGCTATCAGAATCTCTTGTAAAAAAAATCACTATCTATACTATTAATTGGGAATCACTAAATAATAAAAAACCTTTAAGTTGTAGATTATTACATAGAATGCCATTGATTTTTATAAATTTGATGAAATAAAAAAAAACATTTTTTAAATAATAGAAAATAAATCAATAAAATAATAACTGCCCAATATTTTTGGAAATAGTTTAAAAGATTCCATAATAAATCAAGTTATTTGCTGTCAAAAAATTATAAAAATTAAATCAAGTTATTAATTCCAAATTTTAGAAATATAAACTTATTTATTTTGGTAATATATTATTAGATATTTCCGGCAATCTAATTTATTGTAACAAATTATCATGTAATTTAGATTTTAATACATTTCCTTAACAAAACTATGCTAATTAATTCTGATTAGTAGTATACATGAAAAAACGATTTTAGTATTTTATTTTCCAAATATGAAAAAATATTTAGTATATTTGTCATATATAATCTAAACTAAATAGTTTCATCCTTTAAAATATAACCTATTCAACAAATAATTTTGGATTTTAGGTTCTAAATATCTAGATAATATTTTCAGTATAGATTAAATTATTTTACATTTTAATTAGAATTTAAATGATATAAATTCTGAAATATATTTTTTAGAAACGGGTAGTGTTCATTATTTTAAATATATATCACTAAAATTAATTTCAATTACATAAAAATATATATTTTAAAACATATTATAATAGTTACTATATCTCCAAATTATTTTATTTAGAGCCAAATAAATTAATATATCAAATCAAGTAAATTATTTTATTTCGTCTCAAATTGTTACAAGCTTATATTCTTCTAAATTCGATTATTTTATTTTTTTCAAAAAATATTAAAATATAATTTAAATACCAATGTTTAAATTTTCAAAGCAAATACTTCAAAATGAGAAAATATTCATTCACACCAATATTCTTATTTTTCTATTAAATTTGAATAGTTTCTTTTCTGGAAACAAACATTAATAGAATTTTGTTAACAGCTCATTACTTGTATTTGAACAATCATAATCACCATATTTGCGATAATGCATAAGGATCATAGGAAATTTAAGTTTTTTTTAATATTTTGGTCATCATAAATTTAAAATATGCAATTAAGATTAGTATTTTTCGTCATCATCCACAAATAAAAATCTAATTTCATGTACAATCTATTTCCTATAAATATTATGCATATATCCACGTCGTTGATTATCTCACAATTAATCTAAGATTGGTTTATAAATAATATATAAAATAAATATTTGTTTACATCAATCTAACCTATATTATATTCTAATCTAATAAGATTTTTTTTTCTAATTTACTCTTCAATTTCAAACTCCGAAATTTGACGTATGGTTCACAATATTAACTATTGTGTCATAAACAATATAAATTGCATTCTACGGTTTTCTGCATATATTATAATATATATACAACAATATATATCACCAAAACAACAAAATATTTTATATTTACAAAAAGTTTATTACAACACATTTTCTTAAAATTTGAAATCCCGCACATAGGTGCGGGTCAGGATCTAGTATTATATAATTCCCAACACAATACTTCATAAATGCATCTTTAGGCGATTTACTATAATTTTCGAAACAATCTTATACAGAACTGAGCATAAGCTAATATGCCTTAATTCCATCAATCTTTTTGGCATCAAAGCTTTTAGGATCAGACTTATATATCTATGGTTCCATATTTCTAGAAGAATACCATTTCTCAAAAACTTTGAAACCTATTCATATTATTTTAAGACTTTATCATATCAATTATATTATAAAGCACAAACCACTTGTGCAATCAAATGTGGACATGTGGAAAAGAAACCAAATTTAAAAAAAATTTACAAAAAATAAAGTAAACGTGTTATATTTTCTATCATCAGTATGAACTCTCCACTAACACTATGATCAAAATAACTTTTCCACGATTCCACCTCTATTTTTTAAAAATTATTATGTCTTTTCACCAAAATAATCCAAATATATTAATTAATTACACGTTACAAAAATCAACACAAATTTATGCTAAACAATACAGATTCACTTTATGCTAAACAATAAAAAATGATTTATGGAGGTGGAGTCGTGCTAAACAATACAAAATTCCAAATATAAAAATATTGTCTTCCGATTAAATGTTTTATCAGATTCATTTTCAATATTGCTCAGGAAGCAAATTTTTTACAATAAGTAAAAAAAAATTATGATAAAGTTGTATTTACATATTTAAATTGTGTTAGCAATTTATTTTTCCGTACATAGTATGAGGAAGAATACTAGTCTCTGAATATTTATTAACCAAACGTTCCGTGTATGTTACAAATAAATTTAAATAGATGTCATAATCTTTGCACAAGAAAAAAAAAAAAAAAAAAAAAGATGTCATAATCTTTAATCTATAAGTATAACACGTTTACATTTTACAATAATAATTCCTTTTGTGACGTAAAATACTTTTCAGACAGAAAAACAAAAACAAAAATTGTGAAACTGAAATTAAAATCGGTTAAGGTGGAATCGTAAACCGGAATTGACGGTTTTCTAGATTCATCTAGAATATCTGAGAAGGTCCCTTTCTCCTTCCACCTGTTTCTTCTTTTCTCTTCTTCTTCGCTCTTCTTCTTCACTTACCTCTGCAAAAAAAAAAAACTTTAAAGCTTCTCTGCCAACAACACTCTTCATCTCTTTCAAATTCTCAACTCGCATTAACCTTATCCTTCTTCGATCTCGTAATTTTGCAAGAAGCTTCCGTTGCCATTGGACCAGAAAAAAAACATGGCGGGATACAATTGCTTACCGATGAAGATGAAGAGGAAAGAAATTGACAGAGTTAACAACGATTTCTCAGATTTTTCACTCTCTTCTCCTGCTAGGAAGATTCGTCGTTTGGTATTATTCGTCTTTCCCTCTTCTAATTTTGATTTCGAAACCCTCGTTTTTGATTACGTAGATGATGAATTGAATTGTATTTCAGGATTTGGATTTGCCACCGATTATGGAGGAAGATGAAATCAAATCTGTTCCAGTTAATGAAGAGAGAGCAATTGTTCTTTATAAGCCTCTCCACCATTATCATCAACCTTCTAATGAACACCTTTTTGTTGATAGAGACTTCATTTCTGGGTTCAAGAGTAAGTTCTTTTGTATTAGGTCACTCAGACTTTGTGGTTTGTGATCAAAATGTGAAGAGCAATTCTGATAAGTTGTGTTATTGCCTTTTACATTGTTTTGCAGATAGATTTTTGCACGATGGAGCGGTAGCTGATGATCTTTGTGATGATGATGACGAAGAAAAACGCAAGCAGCAGGCGGTTGTTCGCTGGGACCGATCCCAGTTTCAGCCCTTTGAGCCAGAGATTACTGAGTTGGATGGTGAAGATGCGATGATGGAAGAAGCAGCCATGGATGTGGAAGAAGCATCTTTGCCACAGCAGCCGCAGCTCACGGGAGGGTTGCTTCAGTGGCAGCAGCAACAACATCATTGTATGATACCACAGCTTCCCCAAACTAACTCTACTCCTATCTCTTGGTACCGATGACTTATATAGTAAATGTAGAAGTAGGATTTGTCATTGGTAGTTGTGTCACTGTATATCTTACTCTATTGCTAGGCTTATCAGTTAATGTAATTGAATATGTTTGGTTAGAGTAAGAACTACAAGTTTTCCTTTAAGAAAGAAACTTTTTGTTCATTGTTTCTCGTATGAATCTGAGGTTTCAATTGATTAGACAATAATGATACGAAGCTAGTAGTCTTTTGTCGAGAATTTATCGTAGAAAAAGGATAACTCTTCGGAACTAGTCACCATCTCATCAAATTTTTGAAGTAAAATAACTGTCTCATAGACCTAAAACTTGTCCATTCTGGAAAACTGGATGTATGCAAATGGGCATAAATAGTTTGGTGAGAACTCGGTAGAGACGCAATGCTGAACAGATGATGCAAACCGATTTTAACATTTAGTCTTTTAGATGGATAGATTAACCAAGTTTCTCATGCATTTTCTATTCCGGTTTGCTCAGCCGGAATAGAAAAGGGGATTAAATATCGAATTAGCATTACTTCCCCAAGGATCAATAGCTCATGATCATAGATATTTTTAATCTTGGTTTCCTATAATTGATAAGCAAAGACAACTTGCTTGTTTAGTAAAAGAAAAAAAAAAAAAAAAAAACATTGTTATTTCATTACTTGTTACAAAACCATAAAACAGACGAGTACAAACACTAATGAGTTCGAGAAACAACATCTGACAATTTATCACAAATACAAACACTTAAAAAAAGACTACAAGAGATGGTGTTCAACGACCTATTATGGTGACTAGAGGATTGTATCAATAACATTTTTCCATGAACCACTCATAATTATGTGTAACAAATATATGTCCAATCACCAATCCGCAGAAGAGACCAGGTCCATAGGCTATTGCTGCTGCTATCCAGTTAATCTCTTGTTCTTCTGTCTCCGACAACTCCTCTGATTCTTGTGGTGCTTGATTTGGGACATGAATTTTTCCACAAATTTCCTCTAGACCATAGAGTTTGGGGTTGTCCATGAATGAAGAACAATTTTGACTTTGAAATTGTGTACCTCGCGGCACTGAACCTTCGAGATTGTTGTGGGAGAAGTTCATGGTTGACAGAAAGGAGAGGCTACCAAGATCGCGAGGAATCTGACCTGACAACTGGTTTTGGGATAGATCTAGTTCCTCGAGCTTTGTTAAATTTGCCAATGATTGAGGTATACCACTTGTGAATGCGTTACCTGACAAGTTGAGAAGACGCAATTCTTTCAACAATCCAATGGATCCAGGGATTTCTCCACAAAATCTGTTTTTTGAAAAGTCAATAGCTCTAAAGTCCCTTCGGATCCGCTCAAATTTTCTATTTGTTCCTTTCTGCACCATTTCCATCGAATTACTATAGCTAAGAAGATCAAGCGGTATGTCCATATACGGCTCAAAGATGTTATCTTCACCAACTGATGCGTTGATCATTTTACGCCAATTTTGAAAATAGAAAGGCGGCAAGGTTCCGCTGAAATCATTAAGCGATATATCGATGACTCTTAAACTTTGAAACCCAATGGATACGTTAAGATGGTATAACGGCCCGTAGAATTCATTTGATCTAAGGCTGAGGACGCTTAAACGTGGCAGAGAAGTCAACCAAAATGGAAACTTGTCTTTGATTCTGTTTTCTTCAACATTCAAATATTCCAAACTTTCGCAACTGACCAATGATTTTGGAAATTTTCCCTCCAACTGGTTGCCACTAACGTCAAGTGACAGTAACATAGTAGCATTGACAAATATTTCAGGAAGAGTTCCGCTAAGACTATTGTTACGAAGAATTAGAGCCTTAAGATGCCGACAATTCTTTAAACATGTAGGAATTGAGCCGTTGAAGCTATTGTTGGAAAAATCTAAGAGCAATAGCAAACTAATCTTGCAGATCCAATTGGGTACTTGTCCTCGAAATGAATTCGAATTAAGATCCAATATCCACATAAGCGTAAATTCATCATTGAGAACTTCCCATGATTTTCCAAAGCTACTAAAAGAGTTGTGAGAAAGCCTCACTGACGTCAATCTCCGTAAGCAACCTGGTACTTCGCCTTCCAACTTATTGTTGGAAAAATCAATATCAATGAGCCGGTCTAACTTTGATATACACCTAGGGATTGACCCAATGAAATTGTTGTATTTAAGATCTAAATCTCCGAGATGGGGAAATTCACATGTAGAATCGGGTATTGGGCCATTGAATTGGTTATAACTAAGGGATAGATAATATAGCCTAGACGTTGAAGATGCATTCCCAAAATCCATAGGTCCCTTGAAGTGGTTACTCCCCAATAAAACAAAATCTAACGAAGGAATCTTGAACAAGGATGTAGGAAAAGGCCCGGAAAATGAATTTTCTCTAACATCAAAATAATCCAGGTTTTGGTATCCACTCATGTCATGTGGAAGCATGCCGCTGAAGTTGTTGTCGCTAAGCTCCAAGCGCGTTAGTTGGGTAAGATTTCCAACTGAAGCTGGAAACTGACCAACTAATTTGTTATGGGGAAGCACAAGATCCGTGAGATGAGAAAGGTTTCCTAATGAGGAAGGAACCTCTCCATAGAGTTTGCAACCAGAAAGGGATAGTATACGAAGATGTTGGAGTTTGAAAAGACTACTATTTGTTTTCAAAGAGTTGTTGAGATAAAAGAAGTCAAGGACAAGTGAAATCACCTTGCCAGATTTAGTGTCGCATGTGACCTCCTCCCAAGAACAACAATCACTAGTCTTGTTCCATGAACTTAACGATCTTCCATTAACCTTTGCGTTATACTGAAGAGTCGGAAACTCATCTTTGAATTCAAGAAGAGCATCCCTTTGATCATGGTGGCAATGGTGGAGCTTAGGAGAAGCAAGAGTGTGGAGTAGAAGGGAAATCAAGCAGAAGAAATAACAATAACAATGGCTTTGAACCATCATATCTTTTTTTTTTTTAATGGAGTATAGTTTATGTAATGATTGTGTGGCTTCAAGTCTTTTATATAGAAAAAAAAAAAAACTCTTTTCATTTGTGAAACTCTTGACTTGGAAAGTCTTGCGTCAACTCGTCTAATTCGGTTGATTTATGGAGTCTTTTCAATCTCAGTTAATATGTTGTGTTGCATATGTTTTAGAGGCACACTTTTAATAGAAGAAAAGTATCTACACGAAATGTTTTGAAATACAAAAGAGATAAACAAAGAAATTGATAAATAGAAAAGATAGATGGGGGACCATCGAGATAGAAGAATACATAAATTTGTGTGCGTCTAAATAATGCCGTGAGAAATGGGTAATGATGTGAAGAATAATGTTCATAAGTCTCTTTCTTCATGAGGTGGCACTTACGTATTCTCTCCAAACATCAAACCTTTTGGGCGTAAACAAGTCTCTGGCTCGATCAAGAAACATATATTTCTTATTCTGTTCGCCAGACCTTATGTTTCACTAGTCTCTCACATATTTTCTTCAAAAGAAATCTTTCTATTTCTGCTCGATCATATTTTCATGCAATGCATATGATTAAAGAAATAATTAACTCGAAGACAACAAATCTGTTTGAAATTAAATTTCCGATATTATGTTCTCAAGGCCCAAGACAATGATAAATTTTAGTCCATTATTTTCCAAGTTTAATCCCACGCGCAAGAGAATATTTGCTCAAACAATTGGCATATAAATATAGAGATGTTAATAACGTTCTATATACGTGTTTACACGTATACAAATACTTTATATATGTCTTTATATGTATATAAATGTTAATAACGCTCTATATATGTGTTTATATGCATACGGATATTAATAATGTTTAGTGTACATGTTTACATGTATACAAATATTAATAATGATATATATATATATATTTACATTTGTACATAGATCCAAAACTTAACACTATAGTTGTTTATAACGCTTTATATATATGTGAATACATATATATTTTTTTGCAACACAGTTGCATGCCTATTCATTGTGTGTCTATTCCATTAGGTTAGTGGTTTAAACTTTCAAATTCCCGCCCAACAAGTTGCGTTATAGATTCAAAATTAAAAGATTCGAAGACAGTCCGTCAGTTTGCATTTAATATAAGCCCCCTCCTTCTTTCTATTGCCGCGTAAAGGTCACTTCTACACAGAGCATTTAATAATTGTAATTTCGTATTTTTTTCCTCCCCAAAAGTTAATGGCGCTATCACACGCGCATGACTCCGTAACCTACTAGTTTTATTGTAGTTTTTTTGAAGTTGAGGGCCATTGATAACGTTTGATTTTTGTTTGAGTATTATTACCGAATGCCTTACTAGCTGTTCCATTTTTACCTCTGCGCAAATTCACTCATGATTAAATATACTTTTTTTATGGTTAAATATTTCTAGAATTATTCTATCATAATTTCTGTTTAGGTGTTTTGGATATTCAGGATTTTTTGTTTATGAATAAGCAGATACTAACCCATGTTTATTAAAATTTTAATAAATTATTTACGATTAGATTTTTTCCACGTCGATATCTTTATATCGTAAAAAAAAAATGTGACTATTATTATTATACAACATCATTGTATGATACCACAGCTTCCCCAAACTAAATCTACGATCCTATCTCTTGGTACCGATGACTTATAGTATAATGTAGAAGCAGGATTTTGTCATTGGTAGTTCTGTCACTATATAACTTATTCTATTGCCAGGCTTATTAATGTTATATTTTTGTTGTCAGGGCACAAAGTAATTCAATGTGTTTGGTTAGAGTAAGAACTACAAGTTTTCCTTTAAGAAAGAAACTTTTTGTTCATTGTTTCTCGTATGAATCTGAGATCAATTGATTAGACGATAATAATACGAAGCTAGTCACCATCGAACGAGTGCTTTCTCGAGAATTTATCTTAGAAGAAGGATAATTCTTCACAACAAGTCACCATCTTATCAAAATTTTGAAGTAAAATAATTGTCTCATAAACCTAAAACTTGCATATTCTCGTAGAGACACAATGCAAACCAATTTTAACATTTAGTCTTTTAGATGCATTGATTCTCCAAGTTTCTCATGCATTTTCTTCATAATTCAAGAAAATATCAAAATTTGCTTTAAATTGATGAATTGACAAAAATGTAAATGGTGAACCAAGAAGTCTCAAAAGTCAAAACATTCAAGAAAATATCGAAATTTGCTTTATAGATAAGAAACAGCGTAGGAGAATGAGGAAAGCGGATGGAACAAATGCTTGAAGTAGGAATTTTTTTAAGTATATAACCTTTTCATTATATGTTTTTTTTTTCATATAAATCTTCTTTCTCTTTCTATCTTTAGTTTTGTTTTTCATCTATATTATTAATCGAGAATGAGGGGCAGCATTTTTTCCGCAAGTTTTTATTATGCGAGTTTTCATTTTGTAATTTATATCATTATGCGATTATATAATGTTCCCGATCAAAACCGAAAATTCGTAGAATGAAAATCGCATGATCAAATTTTATGCTAATTGGATACATTTATAGAATGGCGGAATATATTTTCGTGACATACACAACTATATACTAATTTATTTGCATAATAAATTTTTACTTGTATTTATTTTTAATATTATACAGATTTTCATGATTGATTAACACATTAAAAAATGCCGTTCCACTATTATATACGTTACCAATCAGAACCATAATAAATAGTAATACACAACAACGAACTATCGAACAATTGGGCTCAATTGGCTGGAAAAAAAACCATTCTAAATATTCAGAGCATCTCCAATGGTAGACATCCATGGAGTGTCTCACAAATATAATATTAATATTTTTATGTTTAATTTATTTAGAGAAACTCACACTAAAATTCTACTTCCATTGGTGAGATATCTCTATAGATGTCTCATCAATATAATATTTATATTTTTATATTAAATTTATTTTTTAATAATATTTTTAAACACATCAAATTATATCTTAAATATAGTCATTCAAACTAAATAATTATATTTTCTATAGAAGTAAATAATATAATGAATATTAATAATTTTAAAAGCATTAATTAATAGTACTATTTATTATAAATAATATATTTTTAAAACCACAATTTAACATAAATTGAATTTTAAACAACATATCAAACCATAATAAAGATATATAAATTAAACAATATGATTAAAATTACACATCATTTTATCAAATAGATTTTAATTATATTGGACATTTTGTAAATAATGACAAAAGATAACACATTATTTATAAAAATATCAAAATATTGACAAAATATCAGATTATTCATCTCATATTTATTTTCTAATATTATAGTATTTTATTAACTAAAAATAGAAATTTATATTTATATTAACCTTAACTAATATCAATTAAAAATAATCATAATAAAAAATTTAAACTCTTGTATAATGGAGCTTGATATATAGATAATTTTATTTTATGAATTATAGAAAAATAAAAAATAAAAAATAAAAACTTATAAACTATTTAATTGATATTATAAATCTTAGAATAATTAAATTTAAAAGGAAATTGTTAAACCAATCTAGGAGTGACATGTGTATGAGAGAGAGAGTTTCTCACAATGTCTCAAATGAGAAACTTGTATCAAAATGTCTCAACTTTTTTGATTAAAAAAGTATTTTTTTATTTATTTTTGATTTATTTTTAATATAGATGTCTCATGTAGATGAAAGTGGTCTCATATGGGCGAGAAAAAAATGTAATTGGGCTTTTCCTTAACGGATTTGAAAGTGAGCCCAATTAATTTAAACCCTAAAAACTCCGTAAAAAAAAAAAACAGCCCAAAACAACAAAAACCCGTTTTCTTCGTTTTTACTTCAACGAAACAAAGCTCCCGCCGCCGCCGTTATTACGACCACCACCGTGCGAAACCCTAAATTTCTGCCGCTTTAAATTTCTGTCCAGTTGATTCCGATTTGTGAAAGATTTGCAAATTACAAATTTTCTTGTTGGAGAAATCTATGAGTGCCCAAATGGAAGAACCAGAGACTCTCGGCAAAAGAAAAGTATCGGAAAGCTCAAAACTTTCCGATGAAACTCCGACGCCAGAACCAACAACGAAGCGTAGAAGCCTTATACGTGCTTGTGTACATGAAGTTGCTGTTCCCAATGATTACACACCAACGAAAGAAGAGACGATTCATGGGACGCTTGATAATCCTGTCTTCAATGGAGACATGGCCAAGACCTATCCTTTTAAGCTTGACCCTTTTCAGAGTGTATCTGTTGCTTGCTTAGAGAGAAAAGAATCGATTTTGGTTTCTGCTCACACTTCAGCTGGTAAAACTGCTGTTGCTGAGTATGCTATTGCAATGGCGTTTAGAGATAAGCAGAGAGTTATATATACTTCTCCTTTGAAAGCTTTGAGTAATCAGAAGTATAGAGAGTTGCAGCATGAGTTTAAAGATGTTGGTTTGATGACTGGTGATGTTACTCTTTCACCTAATGCTAGTTGTTTGGTTATGACAACTGAAATCTTGAGGGCGATGCTTTATAGAGGCTCTGAAGTTTTAAAGGAGGTTGCTTGGGTTATTTTTGATGAGATTCATTATATGAAGGATAGGGAAAGAGGAGTTGTTTGGGAAGAGAGTATTATTTTCTTGCCACCTGCTATTAAGATGGTTTTCCTTTCTGCCACTATGTCGAATGCTACTGAATTCGCGGAATGGATATGTTATTTGCACAAGCAGCCATGCCATGTTGTGTACACAGATTTTAGGCCAACTCCTCTGCAGCATTATGCTTTTCCTATGGGTGGGAGTGGACTGTACCTAGTGGTTGATGATAATGAGCAATTTCGGGAGGACAATTTCGTTAAGATGCAGGATACTTTCCCAAAACCGAAATCTGTTGATGGGAAAAAGAGTGCGAATGGCAAATCTGGTGGTAGGGGTGCTAAAGGTGGCGGTGGCCCTGGTGATTCTGATGTTTACAAAATTGTCAAGGTATGAATATTGTTTATGGTTGTCCTATGTTGCAGCTTGTGATGTCGA